CGAGCTGCGAAGATATAGGGATTAGAAAATTAGAATTTGCGGTACAGACTTGCTGGGCTTTACTTGGTCTGGTAGCTTGGCAAACGAACCAAGAAGTCAAATTTTTTATTTAACAGATACATCCGATACATCTGATACATCCGATACATCCGATACATCCGATACATCTGATACATCCGATACATCTGATACATCCGATACATCCGATACATCTGATACATCCGATACATCTGATACATCCCATACATCCGATACATCCGATACATCCGATACATGCGATACATCTGATACGTCTGATACATCCGATACATCCGATACATCCGATAAAATACAGGAGTAGTTTAAGAACAGTGGATCTTCATGCCTTTCGCGTTAATGAAGAATATCTTTTAAAATATTAATTATTGAAAAAATCAAATCTTCTCCCAGCTGAATTTGACTCAAAGCCATTCTATACACCAGAAAACTGTGGAATAGAAAGACGACATTGTAGAATTCCTGAAGTCTATTTGATGTTGTTACAAAGCAAAAAGTTTTATTAGAAACTTATAAATTCAATCATTGATTAAATTAATCCCTAAAAGTCTAATTTAATTTGATTTGATTTGGCTGTTTACACTCCACAATTGCTGTGTCTCGTGTTCGATCATTGGACTATTTAAAGTCAAATATTAAGTTTGAAAGTCGCCTTCCTATTCCAGAGTTTTTGGTTCTCACTGTACTATTATGCAGGGTTGCCCACAAGTAATAACATTTCAGCTGAAGACTACTTTACGGAATCTATATCAATCTTTTTTCTTACATTGATGGTTACCATCAAGGTTATATAATGCAAGGAAAGTTAGTTGCAGTTGTTATACTCTGCGTACATATTGAAACCAGTTCTCTCTTGGCGGAATTTGTAAACAAGAATAGATGCATCAGTGTTCGTTTAGTATCCGAGGAGGTTAAAAGCATTAAATTTTGATAATCTATAATTCACATAATAGTTTCCTATGACCAGAATATTTCATTGATATTTTATGTGAAAGATGGATCCCATGCCAAGTTTCGACATCCGTCTTGTGTTTACATTACCGCCCAGAGACAGTGCTCTGCAGTACAAAAGATGCGCACACCTCTAAAATAACTTTCCTTGCATTACAGCCTTGGTTACCATCATCTATATTCCGTTAATTAAGTCTTTTAAAAGCATGGAGATTAAATTCACATTCATGTTTCAAGACCATTTATAATTGGCACTTTTCTTTACTAGTAGTTTAACAATTTAACAAGCCATACTGATAAAAATCCAAAAACCACTTGTTACCATTTTTTACTTTTAAAGTTTTCTGAGGGAGAGATTTTAACAAAGGAGCTGAGTTTTTGCCATAAAGTCTGAATTTTTAATCCCTTTATACCCGATGTGATAGATATTTTTAACTATCTGCTTCACTATCTACCATGAATTGAAAAGATATTGGGATTAGAAAATTAGATTTCCTTTATTCATTTTAAGTCTTGGTAAACGAAATTAAAAAGTAAAACGATAAAAATATTTGAATCAGAGAACAAATTGGCAATTGCAAAATTGCAACCGTGCTATTTTCCTAAATCAATTCTATTGAAATCGCAAACTATATTGTGTAAGTGATCACATCATGATTTTACAAAATTTTACATTTTTCTATCTTTTAAATTGAAGGACGAGTCACGTGGAAATATGTAAAACTGTGTTTATAGATCACGTGCAGTTAAAGGGTGACCCAGAAAAAAAAGACTCGTCATGAATTAAAGGTTATTTGATCATAAATGACGTTGTAAACGCTAATGAGTGAAGTTGCAAAAATATTAATTAGTGCAATAAACAATTAACATCAATAGTACACTTTTAATAATGTTAATTTTTACATTTTTAAATGGAGAGAGATAAACCAGAAACTTCCTTACATTTCTTTACAAACAAGTGTACTGCAATTTCCGGGAATAAAGTAAACAAACAGTTCTTTAGACTGAGTTTTGTTTGTAATCCCCAAAAAGTTTTTTGTGTAACAAAAACATGGGAGAACATGGGATACTCCGGTGTACCCATTTAAACATCGATACTAGTCCCTTAACTCTTAAGTAACCTCTTAAAGGGGTTGTACGCGTAATTTCAAGAAACACTTCATACAAGAAAGGCCCTGTCCGATTTAAAACGTACCCATTAAACCATTGACTGCATTCATAGAGAACAGCGAGCTCTATGTACTGTATATATCTCAACAAGTGTTTGAATAGCCGTTGGCCCAGTGCCCAAAACTGAAGACAGTTTGTTTACATTCTTAATTTTTCCGAATCTCTTAAATCAAACTCTACACAAATGTTAAGACCCCAAAAAGGAAACTCGTAAATTTCGTTCAACGATACTCTTTTAAATTTCGGGCTCAGTGGTGTAAGCTAGCGTAGAGTGTGAACACATTAATCCGTTACTTGTGTCTCTCGACAATACCGAATAATTTACGTCAAAGGCTATTTTTAAAAATTCAAAAATAAAAAAACTCATTTTGTCAGATTTCTAGCAAGTATAAACCACTTGCAAACTAATTCATTAAAGGGACAGGCCGGCTATTTGAGGTAGTTGGACTGAGTATGCAGAGTTGTGGACAAATTCTGAAGGATTCATTTGAGACATATAAAACTTTTTAAAAGATCTGAGAATCCTGAATTTGAGCGCAATGCGACGTTCAAAATCGTACTTTTGGGAAGATACGTTTCAGAATTGTTTTTTTTTATTAATAAATAGCGACGACAAAAATGTAAACAAAATTTTACAGTAGCCTAATTAGTTGTTTAGGAATAGGTTGAGAAATAAAAATTAATCATTAATAAAAATCATGGAAGATAAGTAATCTTATTCAATTTTTAGTTTCTATAATCTCTCTTTAATCATAAAGATTTTCTGCAAATTTTCGAAAAAAAATTCAAAGAAAATAAGAAATTAAATATAATGATGAAAACGAAATAGTTGATTTTAGCATTGATTGACAAATTTCAATTGAGAAATATGTTCCTAACCATTTAATTAGTTTACTGCATAGTTCTTACTTTATTTTTCGTCGTCGATATTTGATAATAAAAAACTTATTCGGAAAACGTATCCATTCAAATTCAAGATTTTGAATGTCGGCTATGCACCCAAACTCAGTAATTATACATCATGGAAATGTTTTATATGTCTCAAATGAATCCTAAAGATTTTTTCCACAAACTTGCATACTCAGTTTAAATACCTTACTTAGCCGGTCTGCCCCTTTAACAATTACAAGCGTTTCTGTATATTAACAAGAATTATTCCGGCATCCTTGAAGAGTACTGTTGGGAATCAGACACGCCAATGGAGGGTGCATTTGATATTTTACATTTAATAAAATATTCAGCATATTTGTGGAAACTAGAATGCTTGTCAAAATTTTAAGGGTTTCAAATTTTAATGCAAATATTTATAGAACATTGTAAATGTTAATGAATGAAGTTGCAGAAAATTTAAATAGTTTAACATGTAGAGTATTATTGTCATGTCATTTTTCTCTTCAACAGTAGATCTAGCTTGTTAATAAAACAGAATGGTATCCGATAAAAAAATAAACCCAACTTTTACAAAAATAGTTTTAGGCTTCTGTAAGATTCAGCAATTTGCAAGAAATTTTATTTCTAGAATTTATTAAGTCACATTTTTTTAAAGCAAAATTATTTTTATTCAAAAAACGATTTTCCTTTTAGATATTTTTAGTTTGTGAATTAAAAATAAATATTCACATCTTAGTTGGGAGATTTTAGAAATATATAAATCTTTGTTTGTGAATCCAGAGCTGAAAACTTTAGAATGGGATATCCTTAATCCCGATCGGTTAATTAATCTGGAGATTAATAACATGTGGACTGTGGAGAACAAGCATTATTTAATCTGGAGATTAAGAAAAAGAGTGGATAAAGCATTAATCCTGATGTCCACCATTTAAAAGTTCCCAGCTCAGCACAAATATGTAAATCTTTGTTTGTGAATCCAGTACAAATATGTAAATCTTTGATTGTGAATCAAGTAGAAATATATAAATCTTTGATTGTGAATCAAGTAAAAATATATAAATCTTTGTTTGTGAATCAAGTAGAAATATGTAAATCTTTGTTTGTGAATTAGGTAAAAATATGTAAATCAAGTAGAAATATGTTTGTGAATCAAGTAGAAACATGTGAAGGTTGCTGTGAATCAAGTAGAAATATATAAATCTTTGTTTGTGAATCAAGTAGAAGTATGTAAATATTTGTTTGTGAACCCAGTAGAAATATATAAATCTTTGTTGTGAATCAATTACAAATATGTAAGGCTTTGTTTGTAAATCAAGTTGAAACGTGTGAATGTTGTGAATCAAATAGAAACAAATATGTCTAGATTTAATTTGGTGTGAATCACGCAAAAATATGTAAATCAATTGGAAACTGAAAGACTTTCGGTTGTAAGAAGAATTGCCATGGAAATAAGCAGATCTCTGTTCGTTAAAAACTAGCAAACATTGACATTATTATTAATACTTCAGCGAGACCATTACTCCTCGCTTGTATTTACGCCGATGTCGTCTCCTTTTTCAATATTGAAAGTTTTTTTGGGATTGTGATATCCTCTTTTATGGCTTAGAGGAAACTGATCTAGAGTATTTTCCGACATAAGATTGTATTATATCTTAACATAGGTCAGGTCAAGCTGGGTTAGGACTTAGGTGGAGTTGAAAAGGATGTGGACGTAGTTAAAATGGAGGGTCTTCTTAAATTCTTTAATACGCTGGAAAAATAAAAACGTTCTTTTAAGTTAGATACCCTGGTCGGTTTCCTCTAGGTTCCACCATATCTCTTGATATAATATCAATAGTCCCGTATCGGCTAAAATCTTCTCTACCCTTATTCAGATGTGCTTTCCTTAACCATTTAGCAGTGTATCCATCCTAGGCTAAATCATGCAGTTGTTAGAAACATAAACCAGCATATTAAACATTTAAATACCACTAGTTTATTTCGGAATTTATCTTTGATATGAGATATTGTTTTATAAGACAAAATATTTAAACTTCGAAATACCGATTACAAAATTTCAGTAAAATCTTGAAAAATTACAACAAGGCGTCCCAATAAAAACGTTCACATATATAACTACGGAGGGTTTTAAGTTGGGACACCCTGTTGTTGACAGTTTGTGGCGCGGCACGACAAAAATGGTTTCCATGAAGTCGAGGGAAAAATGTACAACATATTGACATAGATCTATAATGTAGGTCATTTTGTGACTGGGATGACTGGGGCGACAACAAATGGCGCGAAAATTAAAATTCCGACATCTTTGGTTTGTACACAGATAATTTTCAAATTCTGTCAAGTTTTAAGTCGAAATTTTGATTTTGGTCACAGAGTTCCCCCTTACGGCCATTCACTGGCCTCGTTACACTTAGTTATTTACATATTTTATTAACATTGAGTACCCGAAGAAACACACACTGGGCAACGGTTTAAAAAATTATGTTGAAAAGTTGTTATGCCAAAGTCTTAGGAAATTTAAGCACTTGAAGGTACACACAGATATCTTTGAACATGGTAAATGCCTACGTCCACAAGTTGAATTGTATTGGAAAAATACATGAATGATTTACAACAACTTAATCAGCTGAAGATAGGAAAATATTCCGAATTGAATCGGAAAGTGATGAAATCCCGCAACTTTTTTAGAAAAAGCGCGCAATTTCCGAGATTCCGTTTAGAAAGCTTGTGTACACAGTGGATCCTTCAAGATGGAGTACCCAAACTATACTTATGTATTTAAGTACAGATATATCTGTTCTTAGAAATATTTTTTGACTAAAATCACATTCGTATTTTCCTGAGACAAACAAAATATTAAATAATCACGTCAAGCAGAAACTGTTATAGCGTAGAGTACATGTAGAAGTCTTTATCTTCTATCGGTTGAACAATGAAGGAATGAAATCAAGAATTTACACTGGGTTCTCATATTTGTCGGGGCCCACCATGAGACAGGAAGCTGGGGGCCAGGCCCTACAGAGCCCTTGACTGAAAGGATGGGCCCCGAAATACTGAATTCACTTATTTAGTTGGAGAATGGGCTCCATTCGATTTCTTTTCTTCTCGGTCTCCATCCCCTCCCTTCTCCTTTTCAACAATAGGCTCGTTTTTAGTGGGAACCTGTCCAAGCCGCCATTTTTTATATTTATTTAAATTTTTAAAAAGCTTGATGACGAAAATCAGAGATTTAGGGATGCTTTATTACCCACAAATCAATTAAAAAAATGAAATGTTTATGAATTTTCAAAATGTCGGCATTCAAAATGCCGCGTTAAGAATTTTCTTAATACAAATGGCGTCTTCCCTCAGGTTCATCCTTCTCTGGTGAAGCATCTTCCTTCTCCAAAGGCTCGAATTTTCCCTTCTCTGGATCGGGAGTACCCTCCTTGGCTGAATAAAGAAACAATTCCTGAAGGGGCTCATGGAATATCCCTTAAAGGCTCAAGATTAACATTTTTAGAGGGCTCAAAAAATCTGTTAAAATTCTTTTAGGGTAACATATTTCAAGGGGCTTAAAAATTACAAGGGAACTTATTATTAAAAGGATTAAAATCTTTTTTAAAAATCGAGAAAGCATAACAAAACATTCCTAAGGCACCTCAAAATACATATGTTGAGGGGTTCGAAAATTTCCTCAAAGGTTTCAAGAACATTCCTATTCAGATTAAAGAAAATTTCTTGTGTCGCTGAAAATAACTTTTTCAGAGGGTTAAATACTGAATTTTGAGATCCTTATCTATTCTTGAAAAAAAAAGAAAATAATGCAAAACAACTTTTTACAAAGAGTAAAAAAACACCTCCCAATGGGTCTCACATGTTTAAAGACGTGGTTTACAAAAACAGAAAAAATGTTCTTATTTTTAACTTTATTTAAAAAGTTAAAAAACAAAACTTCTGATACAAAAAAAACAAATGAAAATACCAAAGTAAGGATAATACAATAGTTACGTTGGTATTTTTCAACAAACAAATAAAAAAAATAAAAAAGCAAACAAATTAAATCTAAAAAATACAAAAGCAAACAAATTAATTTAAAAAATACAAAAAAAACATTAAAAAAATATATGCGATTCATATCTGACCAAGATTATCAAAAATATATACATTTTCCCTTAACACTTCTGTCGTTTTTTTCATCTAAATAACATGTTGTTAACATTTTCCTCTTTACTACCTTTCACCAGCAGAGGCGTATTCGGGGGGGGGGGGGCTATGGGGGCTTCCCTGGACCAGTAAAATCTTTGGATTTAAGGGGTTTTTAAGCTCCAACGGGTGCTGAGCTCCCCCCCACCACCACTGTAAAGAAAAAGTCTAAGCCCCCCCCTGGCCAAATTCCTGAATACGCCCCTGTTGACCACTGATTTTGTTAATAACATGCAGTGCTTGGTCAGATGGATCGGAAGTAAAAGGAGGAAATATGGAAGTGGAAAATGAGAATGGGGGGAGAAAGGAAGTGCTAAGTGACTCAATAAAATATAAATAATACAACTGTAAAAATAAAAAAAATGGAATTGGTAACAGAGAATCAGTGATTAGGATCCGCAGAATTTAGGCTTCCAGAGGCCGAATTTAATGAATCTGCTAAAAAACCGGTTTTAATTGAGCGCCGGCTTAGATCTTGCAACATCTAATTCGATTTTAAGTGGAATCAACCATATTTGATTTAAATTCGGCCTCAGGATTCGCATAAATATATGGATCCACGGATCCGAATCCATGGGGCAAAATATCAATCCAAAATGAAGAATTTTTTTTTTTAGCTTTCAAAACTCAATTCTGAACTGTTGAAAATAGAGAAACTAAGATGTCTTTATCTCTGAATGGTTTATCAAGTTTTTGCAAAAGAAAAAGAAAAATTTGAAAATTCTTCTACTTCATGGCGGATCCGCATCAAAATGAAATGGATCCTAAGCACTGCATGGAATGGCAAATAAAGAAATGCGATAAGAATTGGAGTAGTAACAGAATATCGTAGATTTAAGAATAAAAATTAGAGTAGTAACAGAATATCGTAGATTTAAGAAAAAAAATTAGAGTAGTAACAGAATATCGCAGATTTAAGAATAAAAATTAGAGTAGTAACAGAATATCGTAGATTTAAGAATAAAAATTAGAGTAGTAACAGAATATCGCAGATTTAAGAATAAAAATTAGAGTAGTAACAGAATATCGCAGATTTAAGAATAAAAATTAGAGTAGTAACAGAATATCGCAGTTTAAGTGTTGACTAAAAGAAGTTACAACGGAATGGGATAAATAAAGTAAAAGAAAGGAATGAATGAAATTTTTGTCAAATAGGAACACATATATAAAAAAATAAAAAAATAGATTTTGAAAGAACATGCAAAAAGCCATGCTTAGCAAATTAAAAGACCCCTCTTCTTATCTTTAACAAATTCCCCATTAATATTCCCGCTTTATTTCCGGTAGTTCAANAAACATATGTTGTTTTGTTAGCCCCTGCCTGGAGTGGCCTTGCGTCCAATTAGGCTCAATTTAAAGTCATGAATATATGAGTCAACTCCTAGTGTTGCAAAATCTAGGCCTGTATTGCACAAATTAGCACCGATAGCTTCTATATACTGTAATATTTTTTTGTACAGAACTCTGTACTGTACAGGGTGTCCCACATCAAATTACGATTTGGGGGACAAATCAGAAAATTTAAGAAGCATAAATAATGTTTGAAAATTTAATAAGGCTAGTAGAATTTTTTTTGGCAGAAAATGCTAGATTTTTCGAGTATTATGTGCGTATTTTAGCGTTAAAGATTGGAGATATTCTAATACGATATGGGACGCCCTTCAGTATAAACTAAACTTATCCAGGGGTGTACATTTTCTTTAATAAATATTTTTATTCCCCATAAGTTATCTATGTTTGATTTTTGAGGGGAAAATAAATAACATTTTTGTTATAAGGTATAAAAAGGATAAAAAAAATCCTTTCGATGTCTTATTATTTAAAATAATATGTTTATGTTTGTACTAAATTAAAACTACTCAGTACATAACTTATCAAATTGAAGTAAATAACTTGTTTTCTATATTAACACTGCGTTTATGTATTGAAAATAAAATGGTGTTTTCTACAGTGTTTATTGCAACATGGTTACCTTAGGCTAGGTACTCTCTATCTGTTATGGTTCCTTTATAAATGGAGATATTACCGTACAATACCCTGATCCAAGATCAATAAAATCCGGGCCAATAACAGTTCTATTGTATTTGAAGTGTGTAATTACCCCATCATTAATTAGGAATAAAAGTTCCAGATGTTAGATTGCAAAATCGGTGCAATGTATTTTTGTTAATAATTCTGTAAAATTTCCCCCTGTTTTAAACAGCTGCGGGGGGTTTCACCGCTGGCCCCACCCCCCGTAAAATTGCAGACATGCAAAGCAAACCAAAACCAATCAAAAAATATTTAAAGCTTTAACATGCAACAAATTAATCAATAACAATAAAGATGATAAATTTCCAGTGTTGGATTTAATATTTAAAAACAAACTTTATAATTTACGAAATAAGAAATAGATGATATAAAAAAGCAATAATTTAGTTCAGCTGAATTAGCACATTTTGTGCTGAAAGCTGTCTTCATTCAACATAATTGAAAAATTTTGATTAAGTTTAATCTTCACAAAAAAGTCAATCCGCCATTTTGAAATTTTAAAATGGCGGGAAATTTGCGAAATTTAAAAATAACGGGGAAAATTTTGAAATACGAGGGCATGCAGGCTGTCATCTTACCGGAGAAGCAGAGAAGTCCTTGGGAGCGGGCAACGACAGCTACAGCGATGACAACAATAATGACCAGAACAATGATGACGATGGCAATGATAGGTCCGGATCCTGCTTCTACAAAAAGAAAAATTCATTTATAAAGATTCTTACACAAAGAAATTAAATCATGCGGTTAAAAAAATCACGTCAGAACGGATCCAGAATTTAACAAAATATCTTTATAATTCTAGACCTGTTCTGGAGACTGGAGAAAAAAAACTTTACATAAAAACTTCAGAATTAATTTACTCTGGAAGGGTTGGTAGGATGAGAGAGGGAAGGCAACCTCCCCCACACAGCTTCCGAACCTCATTTTACCTATTTGCGGCAACGCGCGTCCCCATCGGGCTTCCGTACCTCCCGCAAACAGTCTTCCGGGAATGATCTTCCATTTATAATTGTCAATTTCTACTTAAAACGGGACTAATTCGATTATTTAAGCACGGTAGTCCATCTATAGTATCCTTAACATTAGCATAATATTTTTTTCTTTCTTTTTACAATCAAAGATCGTGGAGAGAATAGATTTTATTTATAGATTTTTTTTACAACAATTCTTGGAATGGCTGCCGCAATTTTATGAATAGTTATTACTAATAAGTAGACAAATAAAATATAGTCTTCATAATAAATAATAAATGTTGATTCTAAAAAACATTGCTCTTTGAAAGTTTTCTTTTTAGTTATTGAGATATTAAAAGAAACCAAAACTCTGTTATAACCTAATGATTTTTAAAACTAGATTTGAAATGCATATAAATCGAAAGATTATTACATTTTCTTTTACTAGAGCGTTGTTCAAATTGCCTTTTATTGTTGTTGAATGCATTATTTTGCAGGTAAAATAAATTAATATAAAAACTTCGTCTGCGAACAGGTAGAAGTTGCAAGGTTACCAATCAGAGCTGCGACAGAAAGAACACCTGACCACAGACGCAAATTTTTACAACTGGGAGGGGGGGGGAGGGTGTATGGGGTGAAGTGAAACGGGAAATGAAACAAAATCTACAAAGTTTTGGTTTTTCCAGTTCAAACTTTGATCGTGAAAAAGAAATAAAAAATATTTTGAAAATGTTATTAAATGGACTACAGTGCTTAAATAATCTATTTAGTCCAGTTTTAATTGACGATTATAACAGAAGATCATTCCCGGAAGACTGTTTGGGGGAAGTTCGGAAGTCCTTTCGGATAGCACTGCCGCAATTATGTAAAATGTGGTTCGAAAGCTGTGCGAAGGAGATTGCTTTCCCTCCCTCGTAGGGTAGGGTGCAAAACAAATGCTAACAACTCTAAAAAACGCATGCATTAATAATATGTGTGAAAAAGGTTGGTATGAGTATAAGAAAGCCACCATTTATTACCCAGCACCAACAGAAGAAGAAGAAGCCCGTTCGTTGTTTTAAACTTTCTCAAAGACAGTTTCCAAACCAAATTCTCTCCGACATTTCAAGTTTCATAGTGCATAAATCAAATCAGGGAAAAGGGCAAGTGTTAATGGCTGCGGCTCTAAAATACTTGCGTTGAACGCTGTGTCCAGAAATTATGTTCATTGTGAAGGGGTATTGAAAGGAAAATTTCTTTGAGAAAGTGACGAACACTGTCCTTACACTGCCCGTACACTTACCGGTCGATCGAGCATTTTGTTCCTGAGGTTGGTTCCCTAGACCACCGTCTGAAATCATACAGGACGTTTAAATAAACATCCGGTAGACACGGGCTAACCAACTTATGAATTATTTTAAAGTCGATTTTTGGGGGATTTTTAAACGCGTTTTCCCCACCCTCGATCAGCAAAGACCCACAATTTGGTCCAATATTATATTGTGAAAGTAACCCAAGTGTTAATTCAATACTACGATCTGAAAATCCAAATAATCTTTGATTCCCTGAATTTGGAATGTTTTATCTGTGTAAGGAATAATGAGTCCGTAGGAGTGCTTGCACAAAATGCACTTAAATAAGAAAAAAGTTAAGAACAGAAAATCTACCAAAAAAAGAGATTCTTTCATCAAAACCTAATGCTACATAAATAACATATTGGTTGAATGAAAGGTTTGATTATCTTGATGAACTTTTAAAAAACGCCGCCATGGAAAAATCTTACAACCCTTATAAAATTATGGTTGATATGATTGATTGCAATCTTCTATAAATGAAGATTTGGTTTTTTTGCAAAATTTTAGCCTAACATGGCGCATTGCCTAACATATAACTTTAAAATGGAAAAAATTTACAAGAAAACTAAGGTAAAATGGATGGCTTTTAAGTTGTGAACACAGGGTTTGGGATGGTTGTGTGTACAGTACATCCATGCAGTGTACATAAGAGCATGCAGTTACAGGGGTATATATAAAAATATAAAAATTTAAAAATTACTAGAACTAGGGAAGCTGGATTATTGCCTATATTTCAAAACTAGAGAATCTCCCTGTTCTGGTGATCGTAAAGTAGCGGGGTCATCTATGATTAATTTGGTAGAACATTCTACACCCAATACGGCCAAAAATTAAATTGACATTTTCTTATATTGCAAAAAAAATACAGCTGTTGGCGTTTATACCAATACAATGAAGACGACTTTTCTATTTAAATTGATGTCTAACAAGCTTTTTTTCAAATTACAACGAGAAGATGGTAATTGACAGCTTCTCTTTGTTTCCGAGATAATGTTTCTTAGTTGTATTGAAATATACGACTGTAGTATACTTATCCAAAAAATCTGCAACAAAAAGTCGGGAAAATCTCAAAATCTGCCACAAATGGAATCTTAGTCCATTAAATCTGCCACAAATTGAAGCCTTAAAAGCCACAAACTCAATAGATGACCCTACCCTACTGCAAGTTTGTTCCTCTTTATGGTTTCAATTTTTTAAAAAAAGGGGGAGGGGCAGGGAGATATATATACCCCTGTAAAATTGCAGATATTGGTTGCTCGTGCTACACAAACCATGCCCTGATCCACCTTGCGGGTACTCTTATATTCTCAACATTGCATTTGTGAATATACAATTCTTTCTTAGGATGGTGTCATGCAATTTGAATACGCTTCACATGTCAAAAAGTTACGGGGAGGGGGGGGGGGAAGATTTTAACCATTGTTTTGTTTCCCTTGATGCTTTTATTGCCTCTACAGGTGTACAGAGAAGAAAGGGTGAAAACTAACATTAAAAAATTAGGTTCGATTTTGTTCGAATTTCACAGGCAGCTAAATTCTAATAATGAACAAACATCAAGTCAGGGGTGTATATATTTCAAAATTAAGAAAACCTCCCCCCCCCACCCTGATACAAAAAAGGTGCTTCGAAAAAAAAATTTTTTATCAAAGTTTCAATAAAACTCTTTTTTTAAGGAGGATATACAATATACACCCCTGAAAAAAAAATGGTTCAAAGTTTCTACTTACCAACTGCTGGCTTCTCTCCTAGACCAAGTTTGAATCTAATTACGGATTCTCCATGGGCATTCGTTACATGAAGTTTGTTCAATGTTCCGGCGTCCTGGAAAATGTACAAGATGTTAGTAAAAAAAGTAAAGCCCTAGCAATCGCAAAGGTTTGATAAATTGATGATTTAGTATAAAAGACATGTTTGTCGCGAATGGGATAAACTATAAAATATATAGTTTGTCACGAATGGGATAAACTATATAATATGAATATGTGTAAGTATGTTTAACCCCGCAGGTAGCATAGGCTAAACTTTTTTAGTCAAAAATCGAAATTTTTGAAAAGAATTTTTTTTATTATCAAAAATCCACGGGCACCGCCGAGCACTGTACTGACCTCAGGTGCGACCTGGTTGATGGTAAGGATAGCAGTGTACAGGGTTGGATCCTCTTCATTAGACTGGATTGGACCTTCAGCAGGGATATCAGCCTCATACTTTCCTGATAGTAAAAATCTGGGTAAGTAAGTGAGACAATTTCTAGAACAAATCCGTACAATCTGTACATTTTTAGGGAAACTATCCGTACAATCCGCACAAAAAATCCGTACAATCCGTACATTTAAGAAAAATAAAACCTTTTTTGAAAAAGCACAAATCAAAATTGAATTTGTGTTCTTCAATTTTTCATTCATTGTCCTTTGTGTTCATGTGTGAGGGTTTAAATTTCTTCAACAGGAACTGTCATTACATTGCTTTTAAATCAGTCTTACCATTTTGAGATTCTGATCCTTGGGGCACCATAGTTCCATCATGCATCTCCCATTGAACCTAAACATTCGAATTTTTTTCTAAATCTTATCTATATCGTTGTGAATCGGGCTTTGGCATCTTCGCATGAAGGGTCACTTGAACTTTTTCTTTCCGTCCCGTTAATTAATAGATTAATTCATGTTTATTGAAAGAAAAGTATCACTTATTCACAAAAAGTGTAATTAATCATTCTTAAATTAAAGTGTTCCATATGTGAAATATGCCAACGATACTATAATTATGATTTACAACGGAATGGATAATGACTAATGAGGGGCAATTAGTGTATTTTTAATACTAGGGAGCAATCACATATTTTAAGAAAGAATAAAATAGAGAATAGATTAAAATTCGAGAGCAGCTTGGATCTCGTGAAGAAATGCATCAAGAGTTTATATTTAGTTTGTATATTTAATGTATACTACATGAGCCAGAAGTGTACATTTTTAAGATCCTTTTCGATAACAAAAATTTGATTCACCAAATGAAACTCTTTTAACGTTTGAACTTTATTTACTAAAAAAAATCGACAGTTTTTTTTTATTTCTAAAAAGGGTTAAAATTGTACTTACATCACTAGGAGGTGGGTTTAGCCTGAAACTGATTCTAATAGGGTACGAGGAGCCAACTTCCATTCCGTAGAAATCGTGAACCTCCTAAACAAAAAGGTAAAAATAATAAAATTTAATCGACGTAACATCAAAGTTACTCTCCATTTACAGATTTGCAAGTCCGATAGATAAGAGTGTCCAATTTAACCCTTTTGCTATAAAAAAAAAAGGATTTACAATTGACCATCTTCCGTCATTTTTCCTCAGACGAAGGGTTAAAGGGTAAAGTTGTGCATAGGACATGCAACTATTTAATTAGAGGGTAACTTGAAATTAGTTCTACAGTTTCTTTAATTTAGACATAGAAAGTCAAAACAATAAATACATGAATAGATGACTGGCTAAATAGAATAAATAACACATTGTAAGATTTAAATGATTGATTATATATATATATGTATGTATATTGTATAGAGGAGAATAGAAGAACAATGGAATAATCCAATGATAAGATTAACCCTAGCAGAATAATAGAATATATTAAACCCTCATCTATGAATATAATAAATCCACATAATAGATCAAGTAGAAAAATGACATTTTCAATTGAAAAATTTGTTTACTTCAGAAAACTAAACACATTTCTTATTGTCATCCCATAATGGATATCATCATATCTCATGGATATCATCCCATTCTCATGGATATCATTCCATTCTCTGGATATCATCGCATTTCCATTCTCATGGATATCATGCCATTTCGATTCTTATGGCTATCATCTAATTCTCATGGATATCATCCCCTTCTTATGGAAATCATCCCATTCTCATGGATATCACTCCATTCTCTGGATATCATTCCATTCTCATGGATATCATTTCATTCTCATGGATATTATACATTCTCATGGATATCATCCCATTCTCATGGATATTATCCCATTTTCATGGATATCATCCCATTCTCATGAATATCATCCTATTCTCAAGGATATCATCCTATTCTCATAGATATCATCCCAATCTCATGGATATCATCCTATTCTCATGGATATCATGCCATTCACATGGATATCATCCCATTCTCATGGATATCATCCCATTCTCATGGATATCATCCCATTCTCATGGATATCATCCCATTCTCATGGATATCATCCCATTTTCATGGAAATCATCCCATTCTCATGGATATCATCCCATTCGCATGGATATCATCCCATTCTCATTGATTTTATCCCATTCAAAAATGTGTGAGACAGGGTTGAGAATTAAAGTGCCATAAATCAAAATGTTAAGATTTTAAACCCAGATTTTGAAGCATTTTTTCTTTCTTTTTCTGAATAATGCCAGTAATAACAGAAATAAAAATGCGAAAAACTATTTCTTAATCTAAACGATAAAGGTAGTTGGCATAAAGAATAGGCAGTAAATGTATATTTTCCCGATTATAAATCTTCTTACCAAAAGGGCCTTAGGAGGGAACTCGACATTGAGCATGATCTTTGCTACGTTCTGTTCTTCTCCAAGCTCATCTGCGGTGTATGCCTAAAATAAATTCATTAAAAATAGGAAGGACCGGAAAATTGTATCAATGTAAAAAGGACACAAAAATGTTCATACTCTCTTTTTCTATTGCTTTTTCTTCAACATTTTGAATTATAAAAATGCTTAATTCTGGTTTTTGCTAGTACTACGGAGATACTTGGGCCTTGAAGCCCGAAAAAGAAAATTAACTACATTTAAGACATTTAATTGTGTCAAAGTTGACGTGAAATTCTTGGATCCAACTTCTAATCTTAAACCAAGCATATCCTTGAATCCAATTCTTAATCTCAGACTGTGCCAAGTCTACGGAGAATTAGGATCAAGCCTAGAGAAACTGCGTACTTTAATCCCCCCCCTTCTTTATCCTTTTATCATGACACTTTGTGCCAGATACAAGAATTAGGAAAACAGAAAAATGGAAAAGAAAAAATGTTAATTTTAAAGTTAGCGAATTTTAATGACAAATCAGAGAAGGTTTTTTAAACATCTGACCAAAAAAAATGTTGATGAACATTTTTGAACGGGTTTAAAAATAATTAGAAGCAAATTCAATTTCATGCAAAATTACAGGAGCGTCTTTGCGACCTCACACCTCATCTAGTTTTCATATTACAAGTGTAAGATATAAAAAGAATAAGTAATACTAATGTTAAAAATATGCTTGATTTCAATCTAAGGTGAGCCAAGTATTAGTTCAAATGAAAAAATGAAATTTCTCTTATATTTTTCTAAATGGTAGGCTAAGTCACCCCCCCCCCCCTTGACTAAAGGGGGTGGTCTGCCCCCCCCCCCCGACTAAAGGGGGTGGTCTGCCCCCACACTGCATGGCAGGTATGAAAGAGAAAATGTGGTCATTTAACCATGAAATTGACAATTAAACTCATCTTGTTGTCATTAACCTGCACATTACTGTATCATGTTGGTTTTAACTTTACGTAAACAAATAAGTAAATAACTATGTAAACAAATATATAAACAAATATGTAAACAAATACGTAAAATATGTTAACAAATATGTAAAAAAATATGTAAACAAATATGAAAACAAATATTTAAAAAAATATGTAAAAAATGTTAATAAATATGTAAACAAATATGTAAACAAATATGCATACAAATATGTAAACATATGAAAACAAAAATGTAAACACATATTTTATCGCATATTTTATCGCATATATGTAAACAAATATATAAACAAATGTGTAAACAAATGTGTAAACAAATGTGTACACAAATATGTAAACAAATATGTAAACAAGTATGTAAACAAATATGAAAACAAAAAATGAAAACACATATTTAATTCCATATAGGTAAACAATAATGTAAACAATTGTAAAAAAAAATATTTTTTATCACATATGTGTGTACAAATATGTAAAAATATGTAAACAAATATGTTAACAAATATGTAATTTAATGTTAATAAATATGATAACAAATATGTAAATAAATATGTAAACAAAGTAAACAAATATGGTAACAGTTGTGTAGACAAATATGTAAAAAAATATATTAACAAATATGTAAACAAATATCTAACTAAATATGTTAATGAATATGTTCACAAATATTTAAATAAATATGTAAACAAATATGTAAACAAATATGTAAACAAATATGTAAAAAATGTAAACAAATATTTTATCGCAGATATGTATACAAATATGTAAAAATAATATGTTAACAAATATGTAATTTAATGTTAATAAATATGTTTACAAATATGTAAATAAATATGTAAACAAAGTAAACAAATATGGTAACAGTTGTGTAGACAAATATGTAGACAAATATGTAAAAAAATATATTAACAAATATGTAAACAAATATGTAATTCAATATGTTAATGAATATGTTCACAATTATTTAAACAAATATTTAAATAAATATTTAAATAAATATGTAAACAAATATTTAAACAAATATTTAAATAAATATGTAAACAAATATTTAAACAAATGTACAGATTAAGTTAACAGATCGAACAACTTTTTGTTGCTTATTTGTTAGACAGTAAGTTGCTTGTTAGTAAAGAGAGAAAATAGTTTTTTTTTTAATTTGTGGGAAATCATAATGGTAATGGTGGAGGGATGATTTTTGAAGTCAAGTTTTTCATCAAATTTTAGAGTTATTTCCCAAATATTTATTTAATAATTTTCGCGAATTCAGGAAATAAAACCAAAATTAAACCCCTGGCCCGATGCTATAATCGTCGTTAATGTTTGTTTTTTAATTACGCGCTATTTCATCTAAATATAAATTTAGCTTGTCTGTCTGTTTGGGTGTTTGTATCCAATAAACGTCAAAACGGCTGAACCGATCGGGCCCAAATTTTTTGTGGGACATCACGTGACCACAGGGAAGGTTTATGAATGATAAAAATTTTAAAAAATGTGTTTTAAAGGTTTTTAATTTTGTAAAAAAAATTAAATTCTTGAAAATCCGCGAATTTTTTTTAAAATCCGCAAACAAATTTTCTTCTTTGTTTTAAAATGTAAACAAAAAGAACATGTTTACACATTTTAAATAGAAGAAAGCCTAGTAATTAAAACTATGCTATTTGTCGTAATTGAGCTCAGTACGGGTTTCATGCTAATATTTAGCAATAATTATAATTCTCGAGTTTTAGCCAGAACTGTGTAATTGCAGGTAGTGTGCATAGTGTACAGTGCTTTAATCCACGTTCTTTATAGAAATGTCAAGGCAAAATTCTTCCATTAATTTCTATTATATGTCAAAAAATCTAAACGTTAAAGGCGTTCCGTAAAATCTTAGTCAATAAAAAAATCTATCCATTAAACAAAAATTGCCAGAAAAATAAAGTTTTTGCTACCAACTCCTTGTTAAATAGTATTTGTAAAATACACTGTCCCTCAGGGATTAGTTTAAGCTAAATTGATGTTCATAAATTTCGAGCTTTGGCATGATTAAGATCTTATCTGCAGCTTTAAACAGTTTCTTTGGAATATATGGGTACAGGGGAATGTTCACTAATTACTATCATTTTCAGATTTTCTTAAAGGAACAAAAATTGTTGATGGACAAATCTATCAAATCCTTTCAAACAAACAACAAACATAATTTTCATTTTAAACCAAAGATAATACACCCGGAACATATTGACATTTGACGTCATAATGAGGCATTATATTAGATGGCTCATTGGGTTTTGACAATATGGAACACATTAACAGGAGGAAGGGAGTTCAGTTTTTAAAATTTTTTTCCTACTTTAATTTAAAACTCGGTGGGTTTTTCCATGATGCATTGACTTCACAAATGAGTAAAGACTTTTTACTAAAATACTTGGTATTTTCTTTCATAAATATTAAAAACAGAAAATATAAGAACTTAAAAATATATTTATAAAATGAACACAATGAAATAGAACTGAACAAAGGAAATAAAATAGTTAGAAAAGTTTCCCATCTCTATGCTCCAAGTTTGTAAAAGAAATGTTAAGAAATATTATAACAATATCATCAAGTGGTAATAAGATTTAGTTCTTCTTTTATCTCAATTCTTCTACCTTTTTCCTACTTTTACCTTACACTTGGGCAAAGTCGAACAAGGATATTATTGCTCTAAAAGTCGGCAAAAATTGAGCCAATTGTTTAAAGTTAGGATTAAAAATGTGTTTTTTTTTTTGTTTTTTTTAAATTTGCGTTTAAAATAGTTTAAATGTTGACGACGTTGATTACCTCGCTATTGACATGGCACTCGAGGTCCTTGGTGTTGTCCTCGGGTTTTCCAGTGAACAGAACCTCCTCGTACGCCATACCGTCCTCACTTAAAAAAATTATTCAAAATTATCCTCAAATGTCTGACAATTTGATGACTTTTTCTTCTCAAATCTAAAAATTTTGAACAAAGAATGCAATTATAAAATGACACCTGCATGAAGGATATCTTTGTTTCAAACCAATTTTTCAAAACGCATATTGTAATATTTTATGAGGATTTAATCGTTCAATATTTAAATGTTCAATGTTCTTCCTTATCAACTTCCGACAAGAACTCGCATTTTTGCAAATTGAGAATTTTCAGCAATTTAAATGCCGTTTATTTTATAATTATCAAGCAGTTTGAGGATTTTAAAATGGAGAATTTTAAGATGGAGGATTTCAAGATGGAGAATTTTAAGATGGAGAATTTCAAGATGGAGAATTTCAAGATGGAGGATTTCAAGATGGACGATTTAAAAATGGACAATTTCAAGATAAAGAATATAAAAATAAAGGATTTCAAGATAAAATATTACAAAATATGAATTCAAGATGGAGGATTTTAAGATGGAGGATTTCAAGATGGAGGAAATTAAAATGGCGGATTGCCGTATCTACCTGATGGCTGTATCCTGAACAGAAACTTGAGCAGGAGAACCGTTCAGCTTCCAGGAAAAGGTTGGCACGGGTTGACCGCCATCAGCGACACATCGAATCTTAATAAAAATAAATTAAAATTAAATGAGCCGAAAAACTGTCGAAAATATATTTGTTAAAATTCAAAACTGTTCACTTTCATGTTCTCTAAAGAAACCGCTTGATCAAACCGCCCCCACCCCCCCCAGCCATGCAACCACAAAATATTGGATAGAAGTAGAGAGTTGTAACCATGTATCTACTAAATCTTCAAAATCTGTGATGTATAACCAATATAAATCAGATTTTCTAAAGTTTTAGGAGTCGTAAATTTTTTTTTCATCATTTCGTAAACAAGAAAAAATCCGCAATTTGATTTCAAAAATGTGTGAACTATTCAAACCGGGTGTAATGAACTTCACGCATGAATGCTTCCGCGTTTTCTCCAAAATTATCGTTTGATTTTTATGAATCATCTGAGGGGGGGGGGCACAAGACATATAAGGATTTGATAATAAGTGTCCTCACTTAACTGTTCAATTATTTCATCATATTTGCTGGGTAATGGCAGTGCAAGAGAAACCGCAAATTCGATTGGACAACTTCTACTTTAATGACGAAATAAAAAAATCATTATTTGATAACAGTTCAGCGGGATTTTAGTAAAAACAATATTATTCTCCCCCCCCCACTCTCCCACATTTCATCCTATCGACCTAAAAAATTTACTTATTTCACTTTTTTTAATCATTTAAAACCAACCTTTTTAGGTGCTTCCTTCTCATAGACCAGAGTCAACGAGTCCTCGGCCTCCATTCCGTCGACCTCTAGGGTGACCCTAGACAACAAAATTAATTTTAAAAACAGAAATTCATAAATTTCTAGAAATCGACAAGACACTATGGTTTCTTGAAAGATGGAAAATGCTGATCAACGAAATCTAATCTTAATTCAGATTTGAAGAAGTCAAGGGGGGGGGGGGAAGTTTCAATAATACTCCATTTGGACCATTTTTAAATATTTAAGAATAAAATTAGGAAAAACATAAAATTTTGATTTTAATAAAAACTAAGAATATGTATTTATTTAGTGACAAGTAAAACAAAACGAGAAATCAAAACCTTCTAAAAAATAAAAAATAAATATTTGTAAATTTCAAACACCGCAGTTCCCCAAAGTAGTGAACAGGGGATCAGAATTTTTAAGGAAAAAATTTAGAGGAAAAAAATTATTAGCAAAGCATTAAGCGGTAAGCGATTATATCAATACAACGAGGTTGACTTTTTTATTTCAGTTTTGGTTGTTAACAAGCTTTTCTCGAATTACAAGCCTACAATTAATCAAAGAATCTTTTTTTGATCGACTTCTATGTTTATGTGTATCCATCCATGCTGTTCAACAGCTTGATAAAAATAAAATTTAAATCGAAAGTTGTCTTCTTTGTATTGCTATAATCGCCTACCACTGTAGCAATTAGTACAGATTGCTATACTCGATTCACAATACCTTTAAAAGCTTTGTCTGTCTGATCAAATCTGAATTAGATATCAAAGTTCATAATATTAAAAACTGATAAGTTTTAAAATAGTTTCTTAAAAATGACGTTAGAATTTCTACGACAGGAAAATTTTTAAGAATTATTAGGAATAAATAAACCTTTTTCAACTTAAAAAACCCGTCAATGTCTTCCAAATTATTGGACAGACAAAGGTTTTAAGGGTACCGTTGTGAATCTGATATTGCCATCTTTGCAATTAGGGTCACTTGAAATTTTGCTTACAGTCCCATTAAGTACAAAGTTCTAGAACTCTGAACTGCATTACCTGGAAGGTGCCTTTAGTACGGTCAGCTTAACAGTATCTACTCCACGCTTAGTTGTTCCATCCTCAGTCACAGCAGTCACCTCACACCTAGATAAATATATAGATAGATAGATATGGATATAGATAGATAGATAGATAGGGATATAGATAGATAGATAGATAGATATGGATATAGATAGATAGATATGGATATAGATAGATAGATAGATAGATATGGATATAGATAGATAGATAGAATATATATCTAAACCAAATCAGGCTTATAGGGAGGTCCTACTCTCTACGATTCATTTTGGAGATAAAATTATGAAATCAAGAGTGAAGCAAGGCCTTATAGCCTGTAAACCGTATGACTTTCCATTTCATACTGTTTCTATTTATGATTAATATGATTTTAGTATTTTGGATATAGATTTATAGATAAATAGATAGATAGATAAATACATATTGATAGAACAGCCAGACAGATGTATAGACAGACAGATGGTTGGATAGATAAGATGGTTTGGAGACTTAACTTTTTTATTGCAGTAATTTATGATAAATTATTCAGAAACTATATCCATAAAAAGTCAATTAACATTTTTAAGGACTTTATAAAACATCATTTAAATTTTCATATGTTGGCTGTGGTAAAAATAATTAAATAGATCTATATAAATACATATTGATTTCGGATTAGAAAATAGATGAACTTTTAAAATTTTTGTTATCATTGTTATGAGCAATAAGAGTAGAAGCAAAGGTTGTAATGTAAGGCTTAGTTTTCCTGAGCTGAAAACTTTAGAATGGGATATCCTTAGTCCCGATCGGTTAATTAATCTGAAGATTAATAACTAAAGAACATGCATTATTTAATCTTAAGATTAAGAAAAAGAGTGGATCAAGCATAAATCCCGATATCCACCATTCAAAAGATCCCAGTTCTGTGCTCTGAAGTTAAAAGAAACAATAAGATAAAATGTAAAAAGATTGCCATTAAGTTCCAATTTTCATTTCCTTCCACGGGTCCCAAAAAAGTTTGGACCCCCCCCCCCCCTGGTCTGGAATGAACTAAGATAATATCCCTGGAATTAGAACCCTTTTATCTGGCAACAGTGGTAAAATAAGTGTAAAATCCTCTAATACAATTAGATCTAGCAGAGCAGAAGAAATGAGGGAAAAGTTTAATCACAGATTGAGACATCTCATGCTTCAAATTAATAAATCCAAAACTCTTCGAGAAAAGAATGCACAATGCTCATGGTTGATTAGAGGATGAGTAAGAATAGAGGATGAGTAAGATGATTAGAGAATTAGTAAGATTAGAGGATGAGTAAGATGATAAGAGGATGAGTAAGATGTTTGGAGGAAGCATAAGATTTTAGGATGACTAAGATTATTAGAAGAAGAGTAAGATTTCAGGATGAGTAAGATGATTAGAGGATAAGTAAGATTAGAGGGTAAGTAAGATTATAGGATGAGTAAGGAATAAGAGGATGACTAAGAGGATGAGTAAGAGAATAATAGTTTGAGTAGTGGATAAGTAAGATGATTAGAGGATGAGTAAGATTATAGGATGAGTGAGAGGATAAGAGGATGACCTCGATGACGATTAGAGGATGAGGATTCAAGGTCTAACATTATAATATTGGATAAATCTCAAGGTCGAGGATAACAGGAGAACCAAGATACATCCAAGGAGGCCGGAAAGGGGAGGCCAGGGGGTAGCTGGACGCCCTGAAGGTGAGGTGGGGGGAGCTGGACGCCTTGAAGGAGAGGGGGAGGGGGGTATTCTGGGGAAAACTAAGGATTGTAAAACGATAAATAAGATGGATGGAAGGCTCCTTACTCAGAATTGTAAATGTTAATGGAATGAAAAAGAAAAATCCATAAATTGCAAATAACGCGTAACGAAGAACAAGGCAGAAAATGGAATAATTAAAGGAGAAAGATTTAAATTGAAATAAAAGGAACTGAAAACTACTCAAACTCATAATGTTCAAATATTTTTTCCGGTTGCCAAGATATTGGAAATATGAGACGACTAATTTTAAAAGTAAGAGAAGACATGAAATAAGAACTTCTAAATAAGAGGAACATACTTCCAAGCTCCGTTGTCGGACTCCCGAACATTTTCAATCTTTATACCGCAGTCGGAGGTCTCGTCCTCTCCCAAGAAACTAATTCGGTCTTCGTACTTGACTCCAAGGGACTGAAACATGAACAAAAATATTAAAATCTTTCAGTTTTTATCCCAAATAACTCTTTTTTGGAGAAAGTGTGGTGTTCTTTAGAGCAAAATTCTACTACAGCTGCTCAATTGATGGTAATGACATGTTTTAAAAATCAAGCTAATCAAGTGCAATGTTTATATTTTTAATCACTCCCCCCCCCCCCCCCC